TAAAGAAATGCGTTTATTATTTTACCAAATATATCAAAAAACATAATTTTACTAACATTACAAGTCTTTTTTTAAATAATTGTTGAAAACATCAATAGAAAATAACGGTCATAGGTTCTTTTTATTTAAGGATAGCAAAAATTAAGAATCATGACAGGCAGGCACGAGTTATGAGTCACGTTAAAAAGTATCGAGACAAAATTAATGCGGACAAAAATTTAAGACGTAGCGTATCTTAAAAAACATGCCGAGAATTATTAAATTAAAAATTGAAAATTAATATAATTGAAAATTAAAAATTATAAATTAATAGAATTGAAAATTAATATAATCCTAATAAATTCCTATGAAATTGAAGCAGCTAAAATTAAATTAGATGAAAAATGGAATCTAGTTAAAAGAGTACCAAATACAACAAGTTTTCATAGTTTTAGGAATTTTAGTAATTATCAAATTGAGGTTAGAAAGATGTTTAATTCCAAGCACTCAAATATTGTTCAATGTTATTCTATTTAGTTATCAAATATTATGTTATTTTTCTGAATCTAAATAAAAATTTATATTAAAATCGTAGTGTCCCGTGAGTAATCAACAAATTATTTATATCCCAAATATATCTGTATCTTGTAATAGAGCTATAGCAAATTAATTTTAAGTTCAGCACATGTAAGTTCCTAATTCCACTTAATGTATTTTATTTTAGGTTCAGAGAAAAAAGCTATTAAAAACAAAATTTTAAAAATCCAAATTTTTTGATGTCTTGTGAGTAATCATAGATTTTTATTAATGTTTTAATCACTATAAATTTCAATATCTTGTTCTGTATCACAACAGTAATTTAAATCATTATCTGTGAAAATAATATCTTAAAACTTTACCTAGCCCATATGAAGGACAAAATACACTTTCTTAAAATTTTGTTGTTATTCTAAATGTCCCGTGAGTAATCATGGAATTGCCCATTTGTAGTAACTTTTACCTTCAAAATTTCATTCGAAACGCAAGCCCGTGGTTACATTGGACGCGTGTCCGTGCGTATTTTTGGTCGTACGTGCAGGGGCGTGCACGCAGCAGAAAACAAACAAATGGTATCTACGCAGGCGGTTACATCGCATCGGAGTTTGCGCGTCCGTGCACGTACGTCAATTTCCGTTGGTAGGATGAAAACAAACTAGTTTGTTTTTTTAATACGTTTCTCAATACATTCCTGAAAAATTTAAATATTTTTGAATACCAGGTTTAATTTTATTTGTGATATATTAATGTTGATGAAGACATTCTAAAATATTCAAAAAATTTGACCGGTTGCTGTCTTAATTCACCAAATGTTTTACATATTCATTTTCTTCTCCTTTCCTTGCATATAAATCATTTACCCAACATTTTCTTCTTTTCATGAGTAGTTATTTTAACAGTATATCCTCACATGACATCAAAGTAGTGGCGCTGTTTTGACAAACTCGGCACGTAGAACACCATGAACGCGCACACATCTAATGTAACCACTATAATAAAATAGTCGTGCGACTAAATTTCGTTAGAGCTCGCACGTATCAAAAAACGCACGGACCCGCGTCCAATGTAACCGCGAACTAAAAGTACTTGGAAGAAAATTATAATAAATCAAAAAAATATTAAGGCTTTAACACCCTGTAGCTACGAAACAAAGCAGAATCGGACCTATGTTGATATGAAAAATAAATCTTATTGAGGAATCTCCCCAACGAGACATGGCACATGTTTTTTGAAACACCTTGTATAGGTATATTAAAAGTTGATTCTCACTATGCCTTCCGTTTCCATTCCATATCCGTTCCGTATTTTTTATTGTATTGACGCTTCAAAAGATACAATTTTTTAAAATAAACCTTTCGTAAGGATATAAATTGTATAATAAAAAGTATGGAACTGATACGGAACGGAAGCTTACGTACAGGGTGGCCCATCGAAAACGTTCCGCAAGGCATAACAGCCAGGGTATTTTTTTTTCGAAAAATCCAAAAACACGTCAATTTTGTTTGTGAGGGGGACAACTTTTGCCCCAAAAATGATTGCAAAATATTCAACCCTCTAAGCGGGGGTGTCATCCCTCAACTTTTTTCAAATGGGAAGGGGGGTCAAGTGGCGTCGCAATGAAAAGGGCTTTCTATTCTCTATATTTCCCCGCTTCGTTTTTAAAAATCGGTCGAGTCATTTTGAAAATATGAAAGACTGAAATTTGAAAAATACTTTTTTTGCAAAAAACGCATAAATTGAATTATTTAAAAAAACTTATCTTATTAATGAAGAAAATGCTGAAAATGTTGCCCGTCAACCTCCATACAGTAATACAAATTATTTTCAACCCGTTCTAGAACATTCTGAAGAACTTGCGGTGTCACTTCGCAACAAACATCAGTAATTCGTCTCCGCAGGTCTTCTAATGAGGCGGGTGGAGTGTTATACACTTTACTTTTTATGTGTCCCAATAGAAAAAAAGTTTAAAGGAGTCAAGTCGGGTGACCGGGGAGGCCACTCAATTGCACCCCTTCGTCCTATCCACCGAACGGGAAAGTTATTGTTTAAATAATTACGCACATTTTGAGAGTAATGTGGAGGTACACCGTCTTGTTGAAATATTAGTTCCGCTTCAACGTATCCAGGATTGTTCTCTATGATGTCAGTTAGAGCTGGGTCGATGGTATTTACCAGTAAATCCAAGTACATATCACCTGTTAGATTTCCAGGAAGAAAAAAAGGACTCACAATAGAATTTCTAAAAATACCAGCCCACACGTTCAATTTCTTAGGGTTTTGTGTGTGCACTTCGTGAAAAACCCTGCGGTTGTCCTCAGCCCAGTACCGACAGTTGTGCCGATTAACTACACCTTTCAAATAGAAAGTACACTCTACCTAACCCGATCGTTCATCCTTGTGGCAAGTGAAAAAATGCGTAAACATCTAGAAATAATAAGAAAAAAACAGCAAATTGGTCGAAGGAATTTATCCTTATCATTTACTCTGATAAATGTTTAAATAAACTTTTCAAATTTCAATCCCTCATATTTTCTCAATGGCTCGACCGATTTTCAAAAACGAAGCGGGAAAGTATAGAGAATAGAAAGCCCTTTTCAATGCGGTACCACTTAACCCCCCTTCCCATTTGAAAAAAATTGGGGGATGACACCCCCGCTTAGAGGGTTGAAGATTCTGCAATAATTTTTGTGGCAAAAATTGTCCCCCTCACGAACAAAATTGACGTGTTTTTGAATTTTCTGAAAAAAAAATTACCCTGGCCGTTATGCCTTGCGGAACGTTTTCGATGGGCCACCCCATAAGCTTCCGTTCCGTATCAGTTCCATACTTTTTATTATACAATTTATATCGTTACGAAAGTTTTATTTTAAAAAATTGTATCTTTTGAAAAAGGTAATAGATTTACTTAAGAGGTGAAAGAATAAATGAATATCAGCAAAATTTTAACAGAACTGGTACAAATATAAGAACTTGACAACGCTGTTTCCTATACGCTTCAGTTCGTCCGCCAAAAAATGTATGGAAGGACTTGGTCCAAGTACACTGTGACCAAGTTTCGTACTGTCGCCAGCGACACTGACTGACACTTCAAAGAATCAATTAGAGTTTTACTAAATTTAAAATTGACAGCTGTTTTAATTTTGTACAAATCTCATTGGTTCATTTGGCGTATCGCTGGCGTCAATACGAAGTTCCGTGAATGGAGGACAGTAATTATTCTAGTAGCTGTCTAAATTCTATCTACGAAGGAGGGGTGAATTAAAACCAAATCAACACTATCATCCATTTTATTAAAACCCAAATTTATACAGCTCCATTACATACTAAAAATATGAACGTGAAAAGAACGTAAGCAGAAAAACAATTAAGTGATTCACTTAAAATTATTTACAATAATAATGATGCTGTGGTCATCTGGTCACTGACCAGCGCGCGTTTACATTATATACCAGACAACTAGGAAAACCAAAGGGACATCCTACGGAAGCGATCCTAGAGCGGTGACATCGGATTTGTCGGGACGTAGACGGGAGAAATGGGAAATTTTTGGGGAGGGGGATGGTGGTGTTTTAGTGAGGATGCGGGTCTTAACAGTAATTATCATAAAGTTGGTTACGTAAAAAGTTAGATGTATAAAATATACGAGATAGATAGTAGATAAAAAGTATATATTATTGTACCCAAACAACGCATTCTTACGCAATTCTTAGTACGTGTAGTTTGGATTATCAAAAGTTCATTGATATTGGTATTTAATACTGATATTTAATAAATGAGGATACCTGTTAAAAATAAATTAAGGATCAAAGTTTGGCTCACTATTTTTCAATACAGCCGAGAACTATTCATCAATATTTTTATTTAAATTTAAACCAATAGCCAATACACAAAAGGCTCTTATATGAAGTCTATTTTGATCCTTCTTAACCCTCTGTTATTATATTAATATAACCTAAATTACCTTAAAAGTGTCTACACCTATGTGGCGGATTCATCTCTCCAAAAAATCCTATATAGGTATTTCGCCACTGCAAGAAAATCTACAAAATAAAATAGTTATTTTTTGTAAACACTTCTGGCGTTAATCCCAAACGGAAACTACTTGTCAGAAGTTAGGTTTACAGATATACAAATTTGCCTAACACAAAAAAATGCTTAACGTTTCGGAAAGTTTATCTCTTTCCATCGTCGGAAGCAAATAAATACAAAAAATAAAGAAAAAAACTATTTAAAATATTTAAATTCAACTATTCGAGAACACTTTAGTTTTTTAAAACAGATACGTCTACAAAAACCGTTGACGTTGTTTGCAGTGGCGTATTACCCATATAGGATTTTTTGGAGAGATGAATCCGCCACATAGATATAGACATTTTTTATAAAGGATCAAAGTTTGGTTCAATACAGCTGAAAAGTATCCACCAATATTTTTATTTAAATCCAAACCAATACACAACAGGGTCTTATATAAAGTCTATTTCTGATCCTTCTTAACCCTCTGTTATTACATTAATATAACCTAAATTACCTTCTTTCAGTAAAACTATCCTTAGAATTTCAACATACACAGAATTTTTTACGTAACCACCTTTTAGACTATACATATATTTATTTATAAATGGTAATTTTGCGAACGAAATCTGCCTCTCACGAACGTGATAATAATTTTTTAGTAGTCATGTGTATTGAGCACGACCTGGTTGACACTTAATACAATTTAACGACACAGTTACATCATATCAGCTAAACCTAAGTGTTTGAAAGCCTAAATAATACTAAAATCGTCCGGGTGGGGGCGGGCGCGGCGTAACGGGCAACAGGCGTCCGCGCGCGCGCCCACCGCAGGCGTCCGACAGCGTCAAGGCAACTGTTTTAGTTTTCGTGTGGAATGCATTTCTGAGAACGAACGCCACTGCGGACAGCCTCGCTTGATCCAAAACTGACCGTATGGTAAAGGCAAGACACTAAAAATCACAGAAGTCGAAACATTTCGAAGTTGATTCCGCTGGTAGGGTTGTAATTTCGATAAAATTGGACGTAGATTAGTTGTAAATGCCATTAAAGGGATGTATCTTTTACTTCCTTCTGTAGGTAAGAGCTCTACATATATAGGCAATGCGTCTTTTATTTCAGTTTCCAAGCTGCTGTCCCTACACTGGAGGTTTCAATCACACCCTGGAACATAGAAAACACTCCACGATCGCTTGCCAGTATATTTGTCTGTTATAATATTTCCAAACGCAGGCCGTTCATCTGTGACGTCGTGACCCTGGCTCGTGAAAGAATATTGGGTGTCAGTCAACATTCTAAAACTTTCTATTACACGTATAATCCGTTTAATTTTATTATTTTAATAGACAGATGTGTGAAATAATACTTATATTCTATTTATTTCCATTCCCAATTATGGCGCCCAACGTGGGGCGCATATACAAAATGACCAAAAAAAACGGCGTCAGCGATCAAATGAAGATCGCTGTCATTTTATATGTAAAATTATAAGGAGAATGTCATCGATGTTCATTTCCAAGCCAACCGGATGCCGTTTTTATTCGACATGCGAATTTCGACATTAAAAATATTTGACCCCACGTTGGGCGTCTAATATAATAGGGAAGTAATATAAAATAAATTGAAGTATTATTTTACACGCCTGTTTTAAACTGATTAAGTAATACGCCACGCAGTCTCTTCCACCAACCAGGATCACGGTGTCATAGATGAACGGCCTCGCTTGGATAGACAGGCCGTACGCGGTACACTGATATATTGGCAAACGACGGTGGAATGTTTATATATGTTACAATGCGTCGGCCACCTCTTGCATGTACTTGTGATGTGTGTCATCAGTGTTTAACAAGTACACGGGACCTACAGTTTATCGCCGAATCCGAACGGCACTATGAGAGACTCTACAAGGCAAATATACTCAAGGTGGTTTGCAATTGCCTTCAAAAAGTAACTAATAAAATGTTTTAATTATATTGAAAATTAATGATTTAGATATGCATATTGTAGTCGTTTTTCAAAAATACTGGAATTAATAGTTTATCAATTCTTATTTATTTACTATAATTTTTTTTTTCTGTTAGATAAACTGTTAACTTCTAAATTTTGTGGGTTAAATTGAAATTATTGATATTATAATTTCTGGTTAGCTTATTTCAAAATTGGCACAAAATTGTATGTTTGTGAAAAATCAATTCATCCGAGATTGCTGTGATGTTTAGTGTCTTCCGTACGGTCCTAGTACTAATAGTACGTCATACTGTCGCGATTTATACTTAATAATAACTTATTATTTCTTTTATTCCAAACCATCTTTCTTCGATTCCTTCTATTCTCTTATTATCCTTAACGTTTTTAGAGTAAATGGGGGTTCGGTGGAGCGCGTAAGGGTCTAGTCGGCTGAGCCGCCCCCTACAGGCTCTCACCTAATTTATTAAATTTATTTATTAATAATATATTACTGCGTAAAAGCAGTGAATAATCTAGAAATAGCAACATGATTTGTACAACAATCGATAGAGAATGACACCATTCGGAATGGGACAATGTCAAAAAAGAGAGAGGCTGCCCCCCGTCTCGCTTTTTGATAGTGTACCTCATAGGGTGACGACACGAGGTCGTTCTCATCGAAACGGCGCGGCGGATAGCCGGCGCTTGGGGGCGGCCCGGGTGGCAGTAGTGGGGGGTGGCGGCCTTAATAGTAGGTCTCTTGCTCGAGCCAGCCTCCGGGGTTGCGCCGCAGATAGAATCGCCTCACCTCGTCGTAGATGAAGATGGAGAGCATGAAGGGTATGGCTGGTAACCACCATACGAATCTGAAATAAATGATATATTAGTACAGACTAATAAATAAACTAAAAATATATTTTTTCGGCATTTAAAAAAAAATATTAAAAATACAAGAAATCTCCTGAAGGCAAAACTATACTAGGTTTTTGCTATAATTGGTCTGTACTTACTTTGCTATGAATATTGTAATCTTAAACCATACAGGGTGTTTAAAATTCTATGCTAAACATTCGAAAATATAAAATTGTTTTTCTTCATTTTTTTTTAAATGGGACAACTTGTATAATATTATTTCTTTAATAGATGGTGAATTAAAAAATAAACATTTTTTTGTATTAAAGTATTTTAACATTTTTAGAAGTTCCATTTAAGAAACGAAGAAAAACTATTTTATATTTTAGAAAGTTTGGCATAGAATTTCTAACACCCTGTAAGGTTTAACATTACGATATTTATAGCAAAGTAAGTACAGGCCAACTGTAGTAAAAACCTACTATAGTTTTGATTTCAGGAGATTTCTTGTATTTTTAATTTCTTTTTTAAAAAAGCTGAATTTTGTTATAGGATTAAGAGTCCTATTACTTTTAGTACTCTGTTGCTGGTCAATTGGTTTTGTCTCGTTTGTTACTAACAGCACAGATCATACAGATTATAAACTTTGTTTTTTCTTTGTAGTTTTTCGTGGTTCCAATTTTCGGAATCGGGCGCTAGTTAGGTTACTAGTTTGCGCACATAGCACCACTAATAATATAGCATAAGCACTAGCCCACTTATGGCCTCTAAAATTGTGCACAGCGCCTGACCGGCACAGTTATTAGAGAGATATCGGAAAACCGAATAGCGTCATGCAGTATTCGCGCGTACCTTATCATGGTTACGATATGCGCGAGTCAATTTTTAACTCAACACCCGCTAATAACGTTACCGCCTGACGTAATTTGCGGATCAATTACGCCAAGCGCTATTTCTAAATAACGTTTAAAAATTGATTAAATGGGCATGTGCGGGTACATTTTACAACCGAGGCCGGCCGGCGAGCGGCGATATCTTTTATTTTAGGTTATGTTTGAATTGTTTTGAATTATTACTTTAGGTAATTTGATATTTAAGTAGCTGGGATTAGTTTTAATTAAATAAATATGGCCCAAAATATGGATCCTAACCTCTTCCAATATTAAAGAACCTATAAAGAGGCTTAGGTTTACAGCAGATGACGACTTAGCCCTTCTAAGAAAATTTGTTGCTTGTTGCCCTAAACCCACTGGCAGACGTTGAACAATAAAGCACTCGAAATAAGCACTTTAGCCCTTTAGTTTTAAAATAACTAGTAAACAAAACAATTTCATAGTTTTAAATTCAAAGTTAGGTTGAGACGAGACGCGAACAGAATTCTTTCCGATCCGATAACTATAAATGAAGAGAGTTAATACCACCTCACGTAATAGTCTAAGAGCTAGCAACGTTTTCGAGAAAGTATTTTAAGACGTCTGGCTCTTTGATATATCTTTTATTATGCTCTCTGGAACAGCGTGCAGACCGTCTGGCTGCCGATACACGTTGCGTTCACTACTGCGCATCCAAAGAAGATTCTCTATTTTTTACTTAGCGCTTTAAATTCTAGTATTGAATAAAAGTCGAGTAAGTCTCCATTAGCTCAGCACGTAGAGCTTTCGCCTATGAAGCGAAGGTCAGTGGTTCGATACCGGTTGGGGTGCAACTTTTTTATTTTTTTTTTCGTATATATTCTGATAGTAAAGTATTAAATATTTGCTTTTTTATCACAAGAACGGATAGCGTTTATGGGTTTATGATCCGTAGTGTACATAAGTAGAATTTGATACTTTCATTAGTTTTGAAGGATTATTGTAGTAATTAATTATTAGATAGGTTTAGGATGGTCTAGCTGCCGCGCCGGTAGGTTGCGTTCACAACTGCGCATCACATGGGTACAGGGTGTCTCATTTTCGTGCGTTTTTTGGGATTTGGGATATCTGGGATTTCTCGTTTATGAGTGGAGATACAATTATGCGTTTTTTTTTCACATTGCTTTGCTAGTTTTTTATGTAACTAAATATTCTACCCCTAGATTTGCTCATTTTCTACACATTAACATTAATCAATCTTGTTTAACAAGTATTATTTTATTTAATTTAATTTAAGCAGATAATTTTGTTTTCCATCGTTATCTTAACAAACTGAACTGAAAATAAACTTGTGTAGCTTTTAAATAACAATCTGTTAAAAAAAGTATTATTAAAATGATTATTAAAATAATAAACAACAGCTGAAAAAAATATTTTGAAGAAAGACAGGCAGAAATTACCTTCATAAAGCATTAAAATGTTAATTTTTATATATTATGTTTAAATCTTTAAAATGAAATTATAAACGAGAAATCCCAAAAACGCACAAAATGGGACACCCTGTACACTTGTGATGCGCAGTAGTGAACGCAACCTACCGGCGCGGCAGCCAGACCATCCTAAACCTGTCTAATAATTAATTACCACAATAATCCTTCAAACAAATGAAAGTATCAAATTCTACTTATATACACTACGGATCATAAACCCATAAGCGCCATCCGTTCTGGTGATAAAAAGCAAATATTTAATACTTTACTATCAGAATATAAACGAAAAAAAAAAAAAGTTGCACCCCAGCCGGTATCGAACCACTGACCTTCGCTTCATAGGCGAAAGCTCTACGCGCCGAGCTAATGGAGACTTGTTCGATTTTTATTCATTACTAGAATTTAAAGCGCTAAGTAAAAAATAGAGGATCTTCTTTGGATGCGCAGTAGTGAACGCAACGGGTATCGGCAGCCAGACGGGCCGCATGCTGTTCCAGAGAGCATAATAAAAGATATATCAAAGAGCCAGACGTCTTAAAATACTTGTTTTCCCGACGTTGCTAGCTCTCGTACTATAAAGGAAATAACATCTGGCCTTATTAACGTCCATGCACGCTATTCGGTTTAGCGATATCTCTCTATTACGCTGTTTATTGTTATTTTACGCGAGTTTATTTTTGCGCACAGGAAATTTTACTCGTTTGCACATCATCATAAAAAACAATTTTCGTACCACGAATTGGGGATAAAATTTTTATCTGTATACATATAGTATACCTAATCTGTGCTAACAGTATCAATCTGCTGATCATGGTTAAAGAAACAGGGTAAGTCTTAAATAAACGTTTTCCAACATTTGTACTAATTTTTTTTTTCAAAAATTTGGTCTGGTAGATCTCAATAAAAGAAACATATTTTTTCTTTACCGTTTATTATTTGAACTGGAAAATAAAAAAATAGAGTTATTTTAAGTTGAAAATTCCACACCTGTAATTTTTAACCAATCAAAACGTGTTTTATTGACAAATCACCATGGCAACGGATAAATTTTAGTGAAAATGTTTTCCTTGTGGGCACCCAACAGCGAATTATATCGAAATTTTTTGACGTTTATAATGACAGAATATCGTTTTGAGAGTCTGGTTTTTATTTGTTTACATGATAATTTTAATACATTTCAATTACAAAGCTGAGATGTTTTCTTTATTCTTTGGACACTTCCTTTCTTCTTAATGGCGAAAATGTAGGACTTGGCATGGACTGAATTAAATGTCTATGTCTAATGAAATATATATATAATATTTAGACACTATTTTATTCGCCTTTTTTCCATTTAGCACTTTGAATTTTGAGTAGTTTAGATGCAAATATTCCTGAACAATTCGAAACAAATTTTCTTTCTTCAAGTCGGAGCCACAATCCTCTATTAATGGGGGTAAATAAGTCATCGCACGATGATTGATCATTACATCAGACAATTTCACGCATATTTTGCATGTAGTATGATTTTCAAACCGATTCATTTTTAAAACAAAGAATTTTGTTGGTTTTTCAAGCTGCACAATATTCTTTATTACAACAAAACGCGAGTTTTTCTGATATTTTGAACTGTCAAAGTACGACGATCACAGCCTTTTATGATTGACGCTTGCTGACGCTGCGCGCTGGTTATGAATTCCATACCAATAAAGCGTTTATGAAAAGTTAATAAAATGCAAAAAAGCAATTTTCTACCACTTGTAGTTACTCAAAACTTATGTAAAATTAAAGAATATATTGTGTTATGTCTTGAGATGGTATTTTCATGCAACTACAACGAGTAGAAGTCAACAATTTAAAGGTCTAAATTGCTGCCAAAACTGTGACACGCTGTAAATCTGTTCGTGCAGCGTTCCCAAAAACCTTTTAAATTATGATTTTCTACCACTTGTAGTAAGCCCAAGTAACTATAAAATAAAAGAATATAATATTTTAGGTCCTAAAATGGCACTTTTGAGTTACTACAATCAGTAATAATATATAAATTCGCGGGTGTCAACTGCTTAATCTTCTGGCGAATATTTTCTTTGCTTTCTTGACCGAAGCGAAACATTTTTTTTAAGTCGTGCCGCTTGACAGCTTCAAAACTGAAATATTTTTTAGGTTTGGGTGTCACTTAGTTACCATAGTAACTAAATAATCAAGTCGACCAAAAATCGAAAAATATCTACATTTTAATTATTTGATTTTCAAACACAATTTGGTGTGGAATTTTCTTACCGAATACCACACCAGGTCAGATTAAATCCGGAAATAATTTGACCTCTAGTGGTATTACTAGTGAAAATTTTAAATGAATTTTTGCTCCTATTTTCTGAACCACTGTTTTTTTTTCTGGGTTTTCTTTTTTGTAAATTTAATCTACTACCTTGCCATAATATCAAGATATGTTTTTTAACTAAAAAATTAAAAAAAAATCCAAAAAGTACCAAATTTTCAAAAAATATTTTCGCGAAAAAAAGCCTCGTGGGCGTATTTCTGGGGTCGAAATATACTAAAAATATTTGCACTTATTTAAGACTCACCCCGTATAGTCTTTAACAGTACTTACTTTAGAGGGAACATCCGTAGACCTTTGTCCATTCCTGGCGTGTAAGACAGGAAGCAGGCCAAGGCAGTTTCGAACACGATACCAAAGTTCAGCGCCCAGTTTCTCATTCCTTGGTGTACGATGGAATTCCTTCTGGTCTTACAGATGATCAAATCGGCCCACTGTACTACCACGATGGATACGAAGAAGGCGGTGTGGCAAGTGTACTCCAAAGTCTTTCTATCTTTGTAGGTCTAAAACATTATGAGAAATGAAGAATATTTTTCCTTTTTTGCTGCATTTGACTGCGAAGGGTTTCAGTGAATAATACCATTATGATTAAAACCCAAACACATCTGTCATTCAAAATCATACGACAGTTAAAGCACAGTACACAATTTATGCGTATCTCTTGAGACGTAACGCAAAAAGTTATGTTACTGCTGTATTTGCGTTTTCGTGTAAACAAAAGTTACTTTAACTGACTAATACTTGACATGTAGCTAACAGTCTAACTATTCTTATCAAGAACCTACCCATTCTTGCCCATACGAATCAGACAGATCGTTGATAGCCTTCGAGTCCCAGTGTTTACGTATTCCAAACAACTTCATAGGCAGGAACCCGTTCTCGGCCATGATGACGAAGTAGACGAAGAACCCAGCAGCAGCTTGGATCATACCAATCTGTCCGTAAGCCATCGAAATCAATCTAAACGAGAATATAATTTAGATTAGTTTTAAATCAACTGATCAAAGTTGGACATACAAATAAAACAATACTTAGGCAATGTCCTTTACACATATATACCCTAAAGATCTTTATAATTGATTTTATTTTCCCAAATAGTAAAGTTTGCTTAAATATTGTTGAATATTATAACATATAATAATACATACGTTCTAAAAACTCATGCAAAATACAAAAAGCTTTTATTAGTCATGCAATACCAGTGTAAAAATTGTTTTAACATTCTTAAAAAGTTTCACAGTAAAGTGATTAATTTCTCGATTAATAATAGGAACGTATTTCGATATATTAATTGTTTTAGTGTCGTATTTTGTATATTTCTTGTGAATTTGTGCAATAACAAACTACAAAACATCACACCAACGCGATACTTCTGCTTTGACGTTTCACATTTGATTTATTGCAAAGGAAGTAAAGGTTTCTGTTGTACTTATATTAGCTCCTAGGATATATTTAGTGCAAAAATATCTAAAAATGCCAATTAGAAACCTTCAAGACAAAAATAAAAGCTCCAAAATTTACCTCTTCTGCTTACTACATAGAAATTACGTAATACATTTTTCTATTTCTACAAACAGTGTGCAAAGTACAAATTATTTGCACTTTTTAAACCTAATTAAAAAGTTTAAAGCAACTAGATCTATATAAAAACCCTTAGAATATACCTTCTAATTTATGAATTATAGTATTATTTGGAAGAAAGCTCAAAAATGTCAAAAAACTATTTTTCCTTTACCTACTTTTTATACAGTACTGTATGTTGTAGACAGTCAATGTAAAGCCCTCAATCCAAGAGAAGCATTCAGTCGTTTAGAATAGATTTGAAAGAAGCCTTTCATGCAAGTTAGAATACCTCTACACATTATTTATTTTGTATGTACAATTGTACACCTCTAAAAATATTTCTTTATGTACATAGTTTTCATTGTATATTCAAATGAAGGTACTGTGAATAACACAATTTGTATTTTATTTTCTCTAAAAATTCTACTGACAAAATTTTTTCACTAAACAAGACACAGAATCTCCTAAAAATCATTTTTAGTCCTCTAATCAGGCATATAAGACAAAAATATTTCTAGGAGACGTCATTTTGAACAAATAGAAGCACCTAAACTGTACCGTGGTGTGTTTCAGTGCAAAAAGTCAAGATCTAAGAACATCTCTAAAATAAAAATAATTCCACTGAAATGGGAACTGTCTAAAAAACTGAACTACAAAATGCTAGAAACAAGGTACACAAGCTATACCTCGGCATCGTTTACATCACCCTAAAGTTTTAAAGAAAGATTCGTTTTTCTACCATTTCTACCAGTACCTACTATATAGTTGAATTGAGATTTGATTTCTATTTAGATAATAAAAAAGGTGTGAAGAGAAATCGCAGTATAATTTTTTCAAACAAAAAGCAACTACACAGGATAGAACTTAAAGCAGATTTTTTTAAGAATGACTCAGAACTTCTAGACTAAGATCCAGCTGCAGGATTATTACGCTGTAAACAGGCTGCCAATCAAAAAGTTGCCGCAAAAATATGTTTAATTAATAATAATAATAACTAATATTTTGGAGGCGACATTACGTTCATAAATTTTTTTGATCATTTATATGTCAAATTAAAAAAGCGTGTGGTGGCTCAAAAAAGTGTGAGTGGATCGGGATGACTTTTTCTAAATGGAACATCTTGTAGGTATATTATTGCGTTTTTGGCTTCCATTCTGATCACTTTACAAACACAAATGATAGTTTCAAAAATATTAATAAAGAAATAAAAAAAGAAATGTTTTCAGCCTTTTTTAAAAAAAATTATTAAAAATACACAAGAAATGTTCTGAAATTAAAACTATATTAAATATTTACTATAGTTGGTCTGTACTTACTTTGCTAAAATATCTTAAACCATACAGGGTGTTCAAAATTTTATGCCAAACTTTCTAAAGTATAAAATCATGTTTCTTCTTTTTTTTTCACATGAACACCCTGTATATTAATCCTTTGTTAGATGAAAAATTAAAAAATGATTGAAAAAATATTTTTCAGAAGAATATCAATCTGGTATTTTATCGTTGAAAGAACCATATGCAATGCGAATATTTGCGAAACCGTTAGAAATTTTCAAATACTTTAAATTCAAAAAATATTCATTTTTTGATTCTTTTGAAAAATATCATGAGTTAATAATCCTATAGCCGGATCCTGTACTATTGATGTTTTGTTAAATATTAAAAAATTAAAATTTACAGACCATTTTATTCAAACAACACTATAATTTATATAATACGTTATATTTCTCTCATACTAAGGGCTGGCAAAGATTAGTCTTGGGTCGAGCTTTCCGTATGTAAGAAGAGTACAATGCGTTTATAATGTACTGAACAAAGAGAGAACAGTAAACACGTTGCCAAGTGTATGAAATAAACCGAGAAACTGTGAACATTGCTAAGAGACGTTGAGGGGGACAAGCAGATTTGTCGCAGTCAACCGGTCGACCCAATCTCTGTCAGGACTTAAAGTTCTAGGGAAAGGTACATCATGCGTTCAGCTTCACGATTTAATTACGTCTCGTGATACTTTATTTCTTTATTTATTAAGTCGTTGTAATTTTCTCTATAGCTTGAAAATTTTTAAGTGCACGTTAGAAACACTTGCATTTGTAAAAATAAGTGGAATTGAGTTGGTGTTCGACAGTGGTCGCGCTATTAGAACTCTGAATTCAAAAATAGATATCTCGAAATCTATTAGAAATAATTGATGGTAGTTTTTTTAAAAAACTTTCTTAACATTTCTGCTATATTATTTTTTTAAAAAACTTTCTTAACATTTCTGCTATATTTTCTTCGCAGAAAGTATGTGAAAATCTTTATAAATAAAAAAGTTCCACGATTGCTGAAAATTGCTATGCAGTACAAGTAAATGGATGGGTTATTTAAAATTTTTGAATGGAAAAAAACAACCTTATCGAATTTTTCTCATTCAAACAGAAAAAAGTTTCAGTATTTAAAGTGGTTCTTAAGTTATGGCGTATTATGTGATTACTGATACCCTAACGATATCCTTATAATTCCATTTCAGATGCTCAGAAACATATATAATGTTTTATCTAGCTATATTTTCGAAAAAAAGGCTTTTAAGAATAAGCGGTTTGCGATTGTGATTTTACTTTACTTGACAAGGAAAGGCATACCGACATATCGCCGCAACAGCACACCGTCGCATTTCTCTCACTCCGACTTAATAAGATCCCTATGCGATTTACTTCCACACATGTAAATAACGTAATTACCGACCCAAAAGTAACAGTTGCCAGCACGGTATACTAATTAATATTTTTTTTTAAATGAGCCAAATGAAGGACGGGACCCAAATAACTTGAAATAAAGCTTCAGATTTCATAATATACTAACATACGATGATCGTTTTATATTAAAAATCCTTAACATGTTTTCATGTCAGTTACATCAGGAATTATACTCACTGTACTTATAAGAAAATTAATATAGATATGAAAACCTTCTTACGTATATTTGAACTATGTTATTGATCTCTACTGTTGCTATCAAAGAGTATTTGATGTTTTAAAATAATTTGCATCAATTGGTGATCAACGGTGGATGTGGGTTGATTGTGCATTGATCAACAAAATAGTGAAAATATACATAAAATATTTTTGCATAAAGATAGCCCCACACATATAGTTTCTCCTCAAGGTTTGGCTGCGCAGTCCAAGCCTTGAGATATTCTTCAACGTGTATGGTAAAGACAGTGTATTATATAATTTATACCACTGTGAATACAAGAAGGTCATCACTGTAATAAAATTACAAATTTTTATATAAAATAAATAAATTATATATCAGTCTTAATCAAGGAAAAAATTTAGTACTACTTTAAATAAAATCCTGTGAAATTAGAAAATTAAACTAATAATACTTTTAGGCTAAATTTCTTTTGTGTTAAAATAATTCTAATTTCTATAACAGAAAGCCGAATCTAATTATAAAGGAAACGAAAAAATATAATTGCCAATTATCTACGTAATAATTTTAAAAATTAAACCAACAACTAGATTTTGTAGCGAGAAAATAATTTTGTATAAACTGTTTAGGCTTTGGTCTTTTTTAAGAAAAATACTATATTCTTTGTGAAATAATAGCACCTTAATCCATATGATCATATCATATTGTTTATCCCTTAAACAAATGAGTATTGTCAGAGGAAATCAGAGCCAATTGGGAAACAAAAATGTTGGCACCAGATGGGTACTGGATGTATGTTACCTTTCCCTATTGGTTAGAAAAAGGAAAATCAAATGACAGCTGTCTTGCCGAGGTAACGATTGCGTATGGTGCCAGGCCTTCACGACACCACTAAGAGAACATTTACATCTCAAGTACTAAACACCGTGCCAGAACCCACCGCTGTTTCTAACTAAAATCTAATAAAAAAGGTAAAATAATGAGTAGTTTTTTAATATAACATTTATTGTTATGACTTACTTTGACCTTTTTACTTTAGTTTTTATTTTGAACTAGATTAAAAATGACAATAAAATTTAGCCTTTTCGATATGTTGGATATCTGTCATATTTGACATTTAAAGAAATGAATGACTACAAAATGGGCAGAATTTGAAGAACTTCATTTAAAAAAGTTTCTTTTAATTTTACATTATCACAGTTTTTTTCACTATTTACATCATCTAGTGACAAATTATTATATTTATATTTCATATCAATTAAACTTTTAGTTACTTAATAGAGGGCGCGATTTTTAAATGCATTGTTGCCAACCATGGACATATTCGGCACCGTGTAACTGGAATTTAAATTTCCTACTGGGGATTCAGGTGGTAGCTTTGCTGTAAAAAATGTCAAATTGTCGCATATATTTATTTATTTCCTGACATTGTCATTCGTTTTGACACTTTAGTTTTGTATTACGAGTTTTTGCTTTAAAGAAATA